CCACATCTCATTTCGTCGTAACCATCTTGGACTCATGGTCTTGTGGAAGTGATGGGAAGATACGGTTGCATCAGACAAGACATGCCAGGGCTACATGGAATCATACTTCTCCATGTGCAGGGGCCAGGCGGATGCGGGGCCTGCCGACGCGCAGCGACTTGATGTGCGCGTTCCCGAGGGTGGCGCCGACAGTGCACCGCACCCACCTTGCCAGAATCTCCCTTCGGAATCCCGCGTGCTCCTGGAGCCCGCGCCTGACCCAGGAAGCTCCGCTTCTGCTGCTGCCCCCACCCAGGAACCTATCGTCGGCGTACCCAGTGCTGATTCCGACAGTAACGTGCAGGGCGACGCAAGGGCCGCGAACGGGGGTGCGCTCGCGGAGCAGGTCAATCGGTCATTTCCGAGCATCCTGGGACGGCCTCAGCACGCCAGTCTCGCGCGCATATCTCGACAGGCGATCTCTCCGATCAGATGACTGGTGAGGGATGCGAGTCTTTTTCGACCGGTCTCGCCACCGATTGTTAGCGCTCGCACGACCCCCGATCAGGCCCCTGTGATCTCGGGCGTTCCTCGAGCGCCGGGGGGGGCGCCCGCGCGCGCATTGAGACTCTTGTCCAAACTTGCGCAAGCGAGACTCAGGCGGAAAAGCGGAGCTGCGACAAATGCCCCCGTAACCTCCGCGCCAATTACAGCGACCACACCTGCGAGATGCGTGCGCATTCTCTCCCGCTGCGATGCAGGCGAGGATGGCGTCGCATTCGTTGCGCCCGTCAACTGTTGGATCCGTGATAATCTGACCTATGATGTTGTGCATCGAATTTCGCGCGCAGACGTGGGCCGCGCATTTGCAGGCCAGAGATCCGACGCCTCGAAGGATAGAGACACTTTTCGGAGGCTGGCCTCGAAGGCTGAGACAAGGCATCGCAGGTGGCTTGCCGCAGGATCAAAGACGGTGCAGCAATGTCGATTGGCTGGCGCCGAGGTTGATCCTGGCGACGTCGAGGGTCCCTTATACCATCCCAACGTAAACTTTCCCCGTCGCTTCCAGGAGAGCCCTGTCTCCTGGGGGCAGATGATTCGCGGCAGGGGAATGCGCAACATGCGTCCTCTCACTCTGGAAGACATTGGCATGGCCGCGCAGCTGCATGCTATGCTGCGTGCGAGGTCAAAGCCCCTGGCGCGATGAGCCGCCCTGAGCGCCGCGCCATCGGGTTCGCGACCTTTTCTATTCCCACTGAGAAGAGAGCGGGCCCCATGAACCGCGCGACCCGCGCGCGGCTCAGACTGGGCCATCATGCGGGCAAAATTGAGTTAAACATGTCGGTCAGGTACTTGCCCCCGTCACCGACCCCCGCCCCGCCCGCCCCCCGCGCTTCCGCCGCCGCGCCGCGATTGGCCAGGCGTGGGCGCCGCTTCCTCTTCGGGCGCGGCGCCCTCCGGCGGCCCTGCCCCTGGCGACGATGGCTGGGTAGGCGTCACCGCTGCAGCTGCCGCGCCAATCGCGGCGGCGGCGCGGAGGCCGAGGGCGCCGCCGCGTCGGCCGCGAGACCCGCGCCGCGCGGCTGGCAAGGCCGCGCCGAGCTACACTGAACGCAGCCGCAGTGCCAATCGCAGGCGTCGCCCAGGGGCTTGGTGGCGTGACCGCCCGGGGCGCTGCAGCGGCAGCGCGCGTCGCAAGTGGCCATGCGATTTCAACTATTGCGTCCTCACCGTCGAGAGCGATTGCTAATCTATCTGGGTCGACCGAATCACCGCGCGCGCGATCGGGCAGTTCGATGACCGCGGCAATAGCATCTGGGATTCTGAATGCGACGATCCCCGCAGGTTCCGTTGGTTGGCTTGCCGACGATACTATATCGTCACATGCTTTGGGATGTATACCGCATGTGCATTGACCTACGCACAATAACATGTCGTCACAAACTTCTCGGCACCATCGGCATGCACGCAGCCTGGCAGGTCGCCCGCCACCGTGATGTACATTCTTGACGACATCGGGTGCATGAACTCACCTAGGCAGGTCGCCCGTCCCAAGTACTATCGTATTTTAAATCCCTTTTCATGTGATGTCGGAATCACAGAGTGCGACATATGCAAATAATAGTGTCTATGGCCCATTTCGGTGGCGCTATCCTCCAAACGATGTCGGATATATCTCGCGTATATTTGGGGCCTGTGGTGCCTCGCGCACGACGCTGCATTATGATTATGATGATCAGTTGCCGTGACAGCTTCGATCACATACAAGCCTGTAGCGCCCCGTGAATAGTGATCCTTCTTTCAGCATGCCATGGCCAGTTGCCGTCACAACTTGGACCACAATCCTCATATTTCGAGCTTTGGGCCGCAATGCGCCCGCATGATTCGAGATTTTGTACGCAATGTATTGCGTGCCGGTAGAAACGCCCGCGTCTGCAATCTTGACGCGGCACTGTTGTCTAGTTAATCGTCCTTTGTTCTCCCAGCCTCGTCGCTTGTGGTGGCGGGGAGTCGTCCAGGAGTGCTGAAGCGCTTTTTGGGGCGCGCCCTGGGCCCGCTAAAAGGGGGTCGACTACCCTAAGTACCCCGCGCGACGTGGTTGGTCCCTCTCTTTCTCTCCTAGCCGTGACGGCCTCGTTCGGAGGCTGCAGGGGATGGAAGGGTGCGTTGAGTGGACCTCACGCCTGTGTTCCCGAGCCCCCGCCATCGTCTCCCGCGGGGGGCCCGAGGCCCACGAGGAGCGGGCGGGATTCGGGGCGGTGTGTGCGTGTGCGTTTGTTTGTGCGAAGCCCGCTCATATCACCTTTCTACCATTTATCCCATTCTCGTTTCGGTTCACGTAGTGGACGAACCCATTTGACAGGACTTGCGCCGCTCGCCCGCGGCGCATAGAGAAAACAAAGGGACCTTTCCCCTCCTCCTCCTCATCTTCTACCAGCGGTCATTTCAGTCGGTTCGATTTTTCGGTCGTTAACTTACATCATCCACATCTGCCTCCTCTCTTTGCCCCCTCCTCCTCCTCCTTTTCCTCCTCCTCTTCCTCCTCTTCCTCCTCATCCTCATCCCCCCCGTCCTCCTCCTCCTCGGTCGCCTACGGCCCCGCGGGACACCGCGCAGGCCTTCTCGGCCGGCTCGGAAGGCCTCGCGCCCTCCGAGGAGCCTTCTAAGCTTCAGCCGGGCGTGCCCATCTACAAAAGGAACATGTTTAAACATAGCCAACAACACTTTTAATAGACAGCGTTTCTATTACATTGCGATTGCTTTGAGCATGTGCCGGTTATTTGTATATTTCGTCCAGAATCCGGTTGTATGGGGGGCATGCCCGACCTAATTTTACGCCTCCCCCGAAGACGCGAACAATTCTCCGGTAAGCGCGAGGGTGTCTGAATAGTTCCGCCGCGTTCCGAGAGGCCGCCGACATAGGAATTGAACGATTCACGGCCCACCAACATGGATCAAAGTGTTGTACCTTGTTAGTTTCGTGCCCCCAAAGCTTCGGACAACGAAGTACTACCAGTACTACGCTGCATCAATCAATGTTCGCTGATTGACTTTCGCTGAAACGCGCCCGCCGCCGAACAGCCCAACAGGGCTCCGCGGTTGCCTTCTTCGCGGGGAAGCGTAAGACCTGAGTTCGCGGGAGTTCGGGTTTCCCGGCTCTTTGTTTGTTGACGCGTCCTGGATGTTTGCGGTCCAGTTCAAGTGGGGTGTTTACAGCAAGAGGTCGCGTCAAGCTCCATGTTGGGGCCCTCATCGTCATTTTCTTGACTGCCCCGTTGGGCCAATCCTTCGTTCCCCGAGCCCGAGTCTCACGTCTTCGTGATCATTCACGTTGCTCACGTTGACGATCAGTTTGCATGTGTTGTCCTTTTTCGGACCTGCGAGTGTGCAAGACGGCCCAGGATGCTCGCAATCTCGGGCCCCGACGGCCCCAGATGGCCCTAGGGAGGGTTTCGAACTGACACCGAAGCTGACCAGGAGGGGCCCAAAGCGGCCCAAGGTGGTCCCAGGACGGCTAACGAGGGCGCCAACCGGGCTCCAGGACCCCCAAGACGACCCAAGCGGGTTTTCATACTTCAACCGCAGTCGGCAGACTTGTCTGTTTGTAATCGCCGTCGCAGGCGTTGCGTTTTCGCAGCGTTTGGCCACAGAAGCTCGTTTTTCAAACGCAGGGAGGTGAAGGCGTCTCCCCGAAGGCGTATTCAATACTCCCCTTTCTGTTCTGATTCCTCCTACTCCTTTTTTCCCCCTCCTCCTCCTCCTCCTCCTCCTCCTCACCATTCCCCCATCATTCTTCCTCCTTCTCCTCCCTCTGAAGCCTCATTGCTGAAACTCCTGAATCTTCTTCCGTTTCATGCGCCCTTCTCGTCCTCGCGTCCCTCCCCTCCCCTCTTCGGAGGTCACAAGAGTGAGTGCGCCAGATCTTAGTGGGCCCTGGAAGCGGCAGGGTTTTTCCATTGTTTTCCGAACAGATGTCTCTTCAAAATGGAAACGGCAGAACAAATGATAATTGGAAACTTGAAAAACTGCTCCAGGATTGCAGCCGGAGCTGGAAGAGGTAAAAAACGGCGACGGAGCCGCTAAACAAACGGCGTCGGAATTGGCAACAAAAACAGCATAACGTAACCGGTAAACAAAACAGCCCTGTCGTTTCCAGGGCCCACTAAGCGCCAGATGACCATTCGATCATGAAAGCCAAGCCATGCCCCGAGGACGAAGCCTTGGATCTCCAACTGGTCGGCGGAAGTAGCTCAGCGGCGTGCGCCTACAAGCGCACCAGGATGACCCCAAGATGCCATCGACAGCTTGTGGTTCTGGATTGCGATGTCACGATTCCTCTTCTGCGCTTTCCCCTGCGCCGAGGCTAGCTAGAACTTGAGCGTGCGTGGAATGCGCCATCTCATGGAATGTATGAGGCGCTTGAGACGTCTGGGCTGCACTAGAGGATCCGACCTGGGGGCTCCGACGGCTGCCTGCCTGTGGACGGGGTGGTGTTCCTCCCTCTCCTGTTCCCAGGGGAGGAAGATTCTCTTTCAGGGGAAGTCGAACAACGACATGATCAGATTATACATGGAAGTCAAGGGGAAGCTTCCCCACAAGATGATAAAGAGTGGCTCGTTGTGGAAGCAGCACTTCAACGAAGACCTCGACTTCAGATTTCAGGACACCAGATCATTCCCGCCACCTATGTTCCTTTTTCATTCCCCCCCCTGCTTCTTTCTGTATATTTTTTCATCGCCTTTCTCGTCCTCATTCTCCAGGCCACAGGGCAGCCTGGCGATGCGAGAAGGACTGCAGAGTTCGAGATGGATGCGCCGACCTCGCCCCCCGGCTGCAGGGGTGGCATTCTGTAAGGTCTCGTCCCCCTGGCACACAGTGAGCGGCTTGAATAAGGAACGCTTGCGTTTCAAAAGGGGCTCGTTCGCATGCGTTACTTGTCCTTCCTTATGCGTTACGTCTTATTTATCGTTCCTTCTGCGTGATTCCTTAGACAACAGAAAGGGCTTCGTTCCTTATTTATCGTTCCTTAGGTCAGGCCGATGACTGTATTGATCGAGAGCGTGTTCCTGCGAAAGCGGACAGCTGGCCCTGGGCCTCGGGATTGTGCAAATCGACCCGGCGCGGATTCCCCCTTGTTCATCCGTGTTGCCTCCAAGGCGGAGGGTTTCTCCGAAGGGCTTAGGCGACCCCTCCTCCTCCTCATCCTCCTTCTCTTCCTCCTCCTCCATCTTCTCCTTCCCCTCCCTCTCCTCCACCTCCTCCTCCTCCCCCTCCTCGGGTGGCCTACGGCCCCGAGGAAAACCGTACACTCCAAGGATCGTTTTGTCAAAGTTCCTGCTTTGGCATCGACAAAAGTAAGTTGGGAGGGAGTCTCGAACAGCAGAACGTCAATGCTTACATGGTCTGGTCTTGCGCCGACCCAAGTCTACGCAGACCTCAAACAGTTACGCTCATGTTGTTGTTGCGGGTATTGAATGCGCGCCGGGATGTATTATGCGTTTCCAGCGATTGTCTGCTTAACCGTGCCTGGCCAGGCTGACCTTTGTTTCAGGATCGATGTGTGCGCCCTCCTGGTGAAGCCTGGGCGACGCAATCTGCCGATCCTTCGCCGAGGACTGGCCTGGCCATGCTCGGCCAAGTGGATGATGGCAATCCTTCCACCGTCGAACACACAGTGCGAAGGACCTGACCAAGCACGAATACGTCGAATGACCGACGAGAAAATGGTTGGCGCTCGACCGACCTGCAAATCATATCCGACCTGCAAACCATGCTATTTACGAGCAACTGAGCACCGAGCGCGCGGTTCTAACAGTAATGGTTAGTACGGACACGTCGAACGTTCGCTAACAATTACTTGGGCGAAGGACCTTAAGTAGAAAACAATTGTCAGGCACTAGTGCAGCAATGAATGTTGCACGAAGGAAGGGACGCTCCGTATGAGACCAAACAACGTGTGAGGGGTGTACCCCAAAGGGGCATGGCGTTGCCGCCATGCGGGCGTTGCCGCTGGGAGCTTTCGGTGGAGCTGCCTACGGGGTGACGAAACATGCGAGGGCTGTGCCGAACTGGGGCGTGCACTGCCAGGGGCGGTCTCTGCTGGAGCTCCCTGTCGGGCCACAAGGCGTGTGAGGGGTGTGCCGAAATGGGGCGGTGCCGCCATTCGGGCGCTGGCATTGGGGCCTTCGGAGGAACTCCTTATGTGGCCACGAAGTGTGTGAGGGGTGCGCCGAAATGGGCGCGCAGGCGCTGGCACTGGGGCCTTCGATGCAGCTCCCTACTATGGGGCCACGAGTGAGGAGTGTGCCGAAGTGGTGCAGTGTCGCCATTTGGGTGCTGGCACTCGTGTTTTTGGTAGAGCTGCCGATGGGGCCACGAAGCGTAAGACGGTTGTGCCGACATGGAGCGGTGCCGCCATGCGGGCGGTGCGATCAAGGTCTTCGATGGAGCCTTTGGTGGGGCCACGAAGAAGGAAGGGGTGGGCCAATGTGGGGCGGCGCCGCCATGCTGGCGCTGCCACTGGAGCCTTCGATGGAGCTCCCTATGGGACCACGAAGCGTGTGGGTGGTGTGCCAAAGTGCGCATGCGGAGAGCAGAGGCAAGGATGAGGAGGGAGGAGGACAGGAGAGGAGAGGGTGCGGATGACGCGGGGGCGATGTCCCTCCAAAACGAGGACCCGACACCACAGGATGGTGGGGGAACAAAGCGGCATGGGGCCCAGCGCCGCCTCAGAACGTCCATGCTGGCGGCAAACTGTTCGTGTTAACGGTGCTTTTTCAGTATATCTACTACCGCCGTCGCCCTTCCCCGGGCCTTCCTTGCCAGGGTCCGCTCACAGCCAGTCCCGGGACCGGGAACCGTCTTGACACGTTCGCTGGAGAGGGGGAGTATGATGAGGGAGGAGGAGCTGGCGGAGGATGAGGACCAGTGTAAGCCTAGGCGCATCAGCGGTGTTGCAATACACGAAAGGTCACTCTCTGCCTCTGCTGGCAAGCCCCCCCCTTGGTTCGAACAGGGGGTGTGCAAAACAGCCTCACACTCCGAGCCGGGGCTTGCGAGTTGACAGGGCCCCCCTCCTCGTGGTTCAGACCGGGGGGGGAGGGGGGGAGACTCCATTACAGCTGGATCCAGCCCTGACAGCATTTTATTAGAGCTGGACCTAGCCGTTGTCAGATTCTATTGAAGCTGGATCGGGCCATAGCAGGGTTGCATTAAGGCTGGATCGTGCCCTACATATGAGCTGCATCCAGACCATATTAGGATCCCATTAGAGTTGAACCAAGCACTAGTACGATCCTACCAGAGCCGGGTTTAGTCCGCACTAGCATTCTATCACATTAGAGCTGGATCGATAAGTCGTAGGAATCTTTTAGAGCCGGATCCAGCCTTAGTAGGTATATATTAGGGCTTGATCTGCGAGATTTGGTTTTCGTTGGCATCTATCAGCCCTTGACCGAGCTTTATTAGGCTTCAGAGCTTGATCCAGCCCCAGTGGCAGGATTCGATTAGAGCTGGATCTAGCCTTTGTAGGATTCCAAGCGAGCTGGATCCAGCCCAAGTAGGATTCTAGTATAGCTGGATCTAGCCGTTGTGATTCTATTCTAGACGCATCGCGTAGCCCCACCAGCCCATCCAACAAACATGCCCAAATGAGTTGCCCTGATCAGGGACGTGGAGGATCATGCAGTGGAATACAGGGCTGGGTAAGACGTCAGATCCCGAGAGGGAAAGGATGGAGGAGGACTCGGAGGAGCAGGAGGAGAAGGATGGAGAGGGGGAGGGGGAGGGGGAGGAGGGAAAAAGGAGGAGGAATAAGCGGATGAGGAAGAGGAGGAGGAGGAGGAGGAGGAGGAAGAGGAGGAGGAGGAGGAGGAGGAGGGCGAGCAGAAAGGCCAGAAGCCTCCTGGATGCCTCTCGGAGTCTATTCGGGTTTCCTCCGCGAGCTTCGTGGAGTCCCAATGGGGTGTTTTGGGGGTCTCTTGGCAGTCCCCTGGGCCTCTTGGGGCGTCTTGGGTGTCTCTGGGGAATTTTTGTTGGACCTCTTGGGGGTCTTTTGAGAGCCTCTTGGGGGCATCTTGGAGGCCTCTTTGGGGCATCTTGAAGCTTCCTGGGCGCCTCTCGGGGCCGTCTTCAGGCACCCTTGGGAGCCTCGGGGACCATCTTGGGGCCATCTTGGGGGAGATCGATCGGGAAATGTACATCAGCTTTCCCTCCCCAGGATGCCAAACTGTGGCCAACACCTTCGTCAAATCAGTGATTATGGCCTTCTTACCGAGGCCTCTTGGGGCGTCTTGGGTGCCTCCGGGGGGCCTCTTAGGGACCTCTTGGGGGATTTTTGGGAGCCTCTTGGGAGCATCTTGGGTGCCTTGTGGGGGCCTCTTGGGGCCTCCTGGGCACCTCTTGGGGCCGTTTTCGGGCCCCGTTATAAGCCTCGGGGGCAATCCGGGGGCCATCTTGGAGGAGATCGATCAAAGAAGGGAGAGGTTCCAATTAGGCCCCCCCCAGGAGGCCAAAATGTGACCAACACAATGTAAAATCAATGGTTCTGGTCTTCTCTCCGCGGCTTCTTGCGGCATCCTGGGCGCATCACATGGGCCTCTTGGGACCATTTGGGGGTCTTTTGGGAGCCTCTTGGAGACATCTTGGGGGCCTATGTGGGTCTCTTGGGGCATCTTTGGGGCATCCTGGAGGAAATCGATCAAAGAAGGAGTGCTCCTCAATTACGCCCCCCCAGCAGGCCAAACTGTGGCCAACACCTTCAAACCTCAATGATTTTGGCTTCCTCGCCGAGGCCATCTTGTACGCTCCAACCCCTCGCCGACCGCCCCCTCCAAACACGGGAAGGGGGGGTATGGGGGAGGGGCCAAGCTACCCTCCTAGATAGCAGGCCGTCTCGCTCACTCCCACCCGCCCTCCCAACACATCAGTAACACCCATGTGTCACTAGATCGCCTAGGACGCCACGCATGCCATGCGCGCCACGGGTTTCAGGTGCACCGGGCATCCTGGAGGCCCAAGCGTTCCAGGTGTGGTACATGCTCCACTTGTGCCAAGTGTGCCACGTGCTCCAGCCGCGCCAGGTGCGCCAGACACTGGGACCCCCTAGGGACCCCAGTTGCCTGGGGCCCTGGCCCCAAGGAGTTCAGGATGTCGAATCACCCTGAAGCGAAGTGCCGAGCATTCTGTGTGAAGGGCGTCTCCTCCAGGGAGCGCAACGCACCAGCACCGAGGGACCATGTGTGACATCCTGAGGAGTCGTGATACATGTGAAAGCTCAGAGGAAAGAGGGCCTTGCGCATGCTCCAGATTTGGAGCCAAATTGTATTTTGTATTGTTTTTGACAGGGATGATTGGCCTGCGCGCAGCAAGCAATATGCGGCACCCCCGCCGTCCCTGTCAAAAACCAACGCGAAGTGGTCGCGGGGCGCCCGCGCATGCTCTAGAACTCGAGGCGAAGTGTATTTTGCATTGTTTCATACAATGGATGGCAGAGGGGATCGCATTGGTCTGGGTTGGCTGCCGGTCGCCTGGGGGAGGGGATTTTTACTAATAAGGCACAGTGATCAACCATTCCCCGAACGGAAACAGGGAAGATGGAAGAGGACATTTCCTAAACCACCCGTGCCCGAAAGGGCCGGTGGGAGCTTGATCGAGCCCGAGTAGGATGTTATTCGAGCTCTTTCCAGCCCAAGTGGCAGGATTCGATTAGAGCCAGTTTGGGCCCCCACCCCCACCCCCACACCCCCACACCCTCCTCCAGGGGGGGGCGGTGGGTGGTTTCCACCCCCCCGGTTTTCCGGAGGGGTGTGTGGGTCAAGCGATTGTAGTTCCCTCGTTACAGGTCTTTACAATAATGTATAGTCATTGTAGGCAGTGGCCCATTAGAGGACAGCCGTCTGAGAATCCTCAACGGTGGCAAACCACCACTCTCAGGACTTCAACGCCACGGATCAACTGCGTGTTGATAATCCTGAACCGTGCCAGACTGCCACTCCTGCGACTTCAGCACCGCGAATCAAATTGATTGTCGCATCCTGACAGTCCGAACCTGTGCGGTAATCCTTAGACTTCAGTCACACGGATCTTCGAAAAGCATGTACCCAGCGCTATGGCGACAGCCACATTTTGAAAAGGAACCGCCCTCAATCCGTGAACCTGTTCCAATATGTCCGAAGAGTGTGCGCGGCGCTAACGCGAGAGCCACATTCTGAAAACGACCCGCAATCCATCCATGAAGCTGTCGCAGCTGAGGCGAGAGCGACATTTTGTAAACGAACCGCCCTCCATCCGTGACACTGTTGTAAATCATAAGTTTCGGGATCAGAAGGGTGAGGAAGTCTCAGGCGAAACGCTTGTCCCGCCTTGCCGACACGTCTGGGGGTGCGACAGGGAAGAGTTGTTTGCAAGGAAAAGGGATGGAGGAAGAGGAGGATGAGGAGGAGGATGAGGAGGAGGATCATGGTAACCCTGGGATGCGTCAGCGATGCTGCAATGCACAGGCCAGACCGAAGACCCCCTCAGGAGTCCCTCGTAAGCTCTCTGCAGGAAGCGCCCCCCTTGAACGACGAGCGCTTCAGTCATCGGCGCGCCTTTCAAGTGAGAGGAGAAGGAGGAGGAGGAGTCGATAATGAAGGAGAGGGGCCCTGAGGGAAGCGCGTCCTAGATACAGGGGCTGTCCCCGGGGCAACTTCTTCATCCTGAGTCGTTGCAGACGGTCCAAGGGTCCGTGAATGGCCCAGGTGCCCGACTACGACGGCACATTCCCAGGACCCTTTTTTCACACAGCGCCGGTTTCATTCATGCTGCACGTGGAGGTGGAGCCCCCCCCCCTCCCCTCCCTCATCCCTCTCCTTCTCTTCCGCCTCCGCCTCCTGCTCCTCCTGCTCTTCCATTCATCCTGGCAGAGGTCATTGTTCAAAGTCCCCCTCCTCCTCCTCCACACCGTCTTGAGTGCGCGGAGGTTCTCCAGACCCATGCCTTGAATACTATGGCCTAAAGTCGGCCACATGCCGGACTCTGTTCCTATCATTACGAGCTGCCACGGTATCTGGTGCTGCTCTGATGGTCGCCTCTCAGTCCTGAGGATGGGTTCCAGGACCCTGGAAGCCCACAGCTCGGTAGTCTCGCCCGGGCGGCTAGGACGTGGACAAGGTGACCCGGAAAAAGAAGATACGCACCATCACGGATTGGACGAAGCCGCGCAAGATCGAGGATCGCGCGCCGCCGCAGGTTTCGCCATGTAGGTTTGCCCCCTCTTTCAGGAGGCAAGGAAGGCTCCTCCAGAAGTGCTCCGCTGGGAGAAGGAGGAGGGGAAGGAGGAGATGGATATGAGGAGGAGGCGGAGGGATGAGGCGAGAGGGGAGAGGATGGGAGAGTAGGATATTTGGAGGAGGATCGGAGGTGGATAGACCTCCTACCCTGACACGTCGATTAAGGAATTGGCCGTCTTCGGTTCGCGAGAGGGCGTCGCGGCCGTCATTTTTGCGGTCCAGGTCCGTCGGTTTCGGTCCCAGGCCGTTTTCACTAAGGGGAGGTTTACTAAAGGGAGGTTTGTCCACCGCCGAGAGGAGGAGGAGGAGGAGGAGGAGGAGGAGGAGGAGGAGGAGGAGGAGGAGGAACATGTGGAGGACGAGGAGGAGGAGAAGAGGAGGAGAGGAGGAGGAGGGGTAAAGAGGAGGAGCAGGGTATTCGATGGCTTTGGAGATTGTGCAGGCGACGCTTAGACATGCTGTGCGTGTTGGGCTCGGAATGTCGACCTGAGCTTGTTGCCAACAAGAGACGCCAATACTTGGACAAATACATGACAGGCCTGATGCCCAATGTTGTTGCGTCATCTTCTCAGGAGGCGGTTGACGTTGCTTCGCAACTGTTCAGATTCCGATTCCCTCGTCGTCGTCATCCTTGTCCTCGTCGTCGTCGTCCTCCTCGTCGAAGTACCCATTCGGCACAAACCTGCTCTGCCGCCGGTACTTACCACACGGACGCCACTCTGGCCCCACCCCTCAGAAGGGGGGCTCTCATGGATGGCCGCTGCGCGCGCAGTGCTGCCGTGCTCGCGGGCGGCCACTGCTGATGCACCAGTTCATGAATGTCGCGATGAGCATCTACCTGCACCTGCGATGCATGCTGAACGCTGCAGCGCCTCGCCTCTTGGCGTGCGGCGCTCGCGCGCACAGGCGAACCGACGCAGAAAACGGTGCCGAGCCTTTCATGCTGGTGCGACGCTGGGCCCTCCCCCTGGCCTCGACATGGTGCTGCTGAAGGACCTCGAGTTCAAGCCGATGCCACAGGAGGAGGGCTCTTTGGCGATGGAGCCCAAGATCGACGCGCTGACAAAGAACATGGAGTTGCTGACAAAGAACATGGAGTCTCTTGCAGCCGAGGCCCTCCCCGAGACGTCTCTCGACGAGACGAAGGATGCGGTGGCGCCACTCCCGAGGCTCGCTCGAGCCTTTCGGCTTCTGGAGAACGATGTGAATATTGCCGACTCCTACAAGTTCCCTGAGGAGATCGTTGACGCTATTCGGCTGGGGCTCACGCAGAGCCACAACTACTTCGAGGCGCTCGACATTGCCATGGAGCTCACACCCACGTCCCAGGTCTGGGACCAACCACGCACACCAGTACAGCTGGGGCGATTGGAAGTAGCACTGAATGACGCAATGCAGAAGCACGAGAACTATTACGACGCTCTCACGAGAACGATTACCACTGAGTACGCCGAGAATTTTCTCTGCCTCCTCGAAGACTATGGTTAGCTCCGCACCTCGCCCCTTTGCCCATCAGCCTGGCCTGCCCTGCTTGAGCATTAGGCCTGCACGCGCGCACATAGCGAGTATAGGGACCCAGCTCCCTGCGACGGGATAATCCAGTGTATATCACGATAGCTGCACGTGTCCTCATAGGCAGTTCCAGCTAGATTCTGTTTTCCCTTATGTCGATGGATGGAAAAAAGTCCTCCTCGTCGTCGTCGTCATCCTCCTCGTCGTCGTCCTCCTCGTCGTCCTCGTCGTCCTCCTCGTTGCTTCCCCCCCTCGTCGTCGTCCTCTTCCAGACGAGCGGCCAAAGGTTGGCACGAGCGTCGCCCCGCTTCACTGGCCCTGGTGACGAGGAACGCCTCCTGCCTCTGTCCCTTGCTGAGCAACTCTCGGCGGCGAGCGAGGGGGCGAAATGAGAAGGAGAAAGCCTTCTCAGAAGGCAGCGGGGCTTCTCCCCCAGCCTTCTGAGAGGCTTCCTGTGTCTCTGGGGAAGGCTTAGACACACCTCGTCAGAATGCCGGGGGACTTCCGAGCCATCTGAGAAGATTCGCCCCCTCTTACGCCCCCCCAGGCTCGCCGCCGATCCTCCTTCGCCCTCCATCTTTGGGTGGCTGCCCGGAGGTCCCTGCACGGAGGCCTCCAGAAGTCTGCTGCAGTCGCGCGGAACAATTTCGGCCCTCGGTCCTGTGCGTTTGCCTTCGGATGCCGTTGGAGGCCTTGAAAGACCAAGAACGTCCGAGAACGCCAGGAACTTCGACCCTGATTGCCTCCGTCGCCGAAGCGCGATCTGGAAGCATCGAGATGTTGTGCGACTGCTGCAAGTTGGACCCTCGCGCGAAGTGCGTGCTGCTGTGCATCCTCCGCTGCCGGGTGCGCGACGAGAGCATGCCGCCTGGGCATGCCGGTTCTGCCGCCCGGCCGTGGGAGGATCGACGGTCCCCTGGGTGGACAGGGCGCGAGGGCGAGCGCAGGCCGGGGCCTTCGGGCCCTGGCCCGTCCATCATCCCGTCCCCCCTCCGCGCCCCCCGTGCACCACCCTCCCCGCCCCCCGTCCACCCCTCCCCCCCTCCCTCCCCCCCTCTCCCCTCGTCACTCGCCTCTTTACCCCTTTTTCCCCATCCTCCTTTTTCCCGCCTCCCCATCCTCCTTTTTCCCGCCTCCCGTCACCTCCCTTCCTCCGTCTCTCTCCCTCTCCTCTCCCTCCCTTCCTCCCTTGCCTCCCCTCCATCTCCCTCCCTCTCTTCCTGCCGGACGCCTTCGCCTGGGCGGCCCCAAAGCCAACACCCCCGAAAGGACATGGTCATGCAGCGCATCGGGACCGAGAAGCAGAAGTCCAGCGATCCAGAGGAATGCAGGGAGTGGAGGAGGAGGCGGAGGAGAATGATGATGATGATGATGATGATGATGATGATGATGATGATGATGCTGATGATGATGCTGATGATGATGCTGATGATGATGCTGATGATGACGATCAGGATACTGATGCTGCTGATGATGACGATGATGATGATGTTGATGATGCTGGTGATGATGCTGGTGATGCTGATGAGGATGACGATGAGGATCTGGATGATGATGATGATAATGCTAATGCTGCTGACGCTGATGGTGGTGATGCGATAATGATGGTGCTTGTGCTGATGCTGATGCTTACGGTGATGTTGATGCCGATGATGCTGATGATGACCAAGATAATGATGAGGATGATGCTGTGGTTGTTGTTGATGAGGACGAGGTTGTTTGTGCTGGCGATGATGATTAAGATGATGCTTATGCCAATGCAGCTGATACTGATGATGATGACGATGATTGTGATGCTGCTGACGATGATGGTGATGATGATTATGATGATGGCGATGCTGATGGCGATGCTGATGCTGATGATGATGCTGGTGATGATGACCACGATGATGATACTGCTGCTGTTGATGTTGGTGATGATGGCAATGAGTAGGTTAAGTATGATGTGGTTTTTGATACTGACCGTGCTTATGAGGAGGAGGATGGGGATGCGGATGAGGATCATTCTGATAATGAAAAGTAGGTTCATGATGCAGCTGATCCTGCTAGTAATAATCATGTTGATGTTGATGCAGTTGTTGTTGATGATGATGATGGCCTCCGCAGGGGGGCGACGCACTTGCAGACATGTGCCATGTGCGTCAATAACAGCCACAGGCGCGGGGAGCAGTGACGGGCGCGACGAGGTCGAGATGGCGCCGTTGCACATCCAGAGGCTGACTGGCTTGAATCCGCTCTTCGCCTCAACCACGGTGAGATTGGCAGAGCTCGCGCTAGCGACCAAGACGGCGGACGCGCTCCTGCTCGCGGGCACGAAAAGGGCACATCGGCAGGGAGCGAATGTATTGAGGGTGGGAAGACGGTTGACGGTGGAGGCGGCCTACCAGAAAGGCCCATTCACCAACAGGCGTGATGATTGCGCGATCATTTCGGAAAAGGAGTGCAGGAACGCCCACTTCGTCGCACATGGGGGTATCCACCTGGAGCACACGGGCGGGGGCTCGTTGCACGCGCAAAGAAGGCGATGTTGGACTTGGTCATCAGGGTCATGTACTTCCCTGTGCCGCCGACAAACGCAGGTAAGCCCAGCGTGTACAAGCAGACGGCAAAGTTGATCCTGACGACAGGTCGGCAAATTCTACAGGATATGTAACAAACGCTCCCTGTATTCTTCGCGGGCGGCAGCGGCGGCAGCACGGATGGTGAATGCCCGGGACGGGCGCTCGTTAGAGAGAGGCGACGAAGAGACGCAAGCGAAGGAATCCGGCAGTTACTGGGTGAGCAGTTCATTGCGGCCCCGTCCACGTTCCGAGCAACACCAAAGCTGGCCATTTGCGCGAGTAGTGACAAAGACGAGCGATCCGGAAGGTGCAGCACCATGGACTATTATCATCATTTTCCGCAAAGCCAGGTCGAGAGGGTAGAGAGAATTCGTGTGAGGAAAGACATCTGTGCGCGAGTCCAAGACATGCGAGGCACCCCACCTAAGAATCTCGGGTCGGGCGAAAGGGGGGGATTGGGAAAGGGGGGGTTACGAAATTTGCTGCATGCAGCTGGTTTCGGCCTGCCCATTCCTCGAGAATCGCTACGTGAGGAAAGCAAGTCCGGCGAGGGCCCGAAAATGCATACGGGGCGCCTCCGGCCGGGAGGCGCCGGGAAAATCAGCTACGTGAGCTGATTATCAACCCCCCCCTTTGCTATCTCCCCCTTTCGCCCGACCCGAGAATCCTGTGCCGCTTCTTTGGCCGTGCCAATAAAAAACACGCCTTTGACCCATGTTTTTCGGATCGCGGGAAGCCGAAGTCCAACCCGACGACGGTGATGAACGCGGTATCGTCCGGCACGCTAAAGACCGCCTTCCTGCAGGACGTGGCGATGAGGCTCTTGGAGGAGGCGAAGTTCGCAGAGATGGTGGAAAGCGGGCGCGCCTGACGGCTCTTTCGAACTGCCCGAATTATGGTGCTCAGGGCGGCTGCGAGCACTTTGCCACGACGCCGCAAGTTTCAGAACAGCGCCATCTGGGAGCAACGCGAAGGGCATTGCGGCAGCAGCGAGCTGAACGGTTGGAACGCCGAAGAGAAACGAGCACCTGGAGCATAGACTGAGATCCAGAGGAGGTTGGGTTCACGCAAACTACAACATGTGGGCCGTGAAGCTGATAGGGCAGAAGTGGTTCGCGGAGACAATCATTTATTCTAGGTCTGCGGCTGGGTGCAGATTTGTAGCGAAACAGAGAGACTGGCGGCGAAGAGTGGATGGCGGCGCGGCAGTTTCCGGGACGAGAAGGATGAGCGCGGGCAAGAGCACGAGGCCAGGCAGGATGGCGAGCTCAAGCGGGCGGGTTACAGGCACCACCGCCGGCAACAGCAGATGCCGAGGACTTGGCATGGCCGTTGACCTCCCGGCGCACGACGGCTCGTGCACGATCAAGTTGGGCGACGGCATGATGATGGGCGGCCCGTTCAGCGCCAGGTTTTTTGCTCGGGCTTTGACGGGGTCGACTCAGGAGTGGGGGCAGAGAGCCCGGGGGCGCCAGGCCGCGGCGAGTCGCCTCGGGCGCGAGCGGGGGGCTTGCCAGACATCGGCCTCAGCCATCGCCCGTGCGCGGGCGACTTTGAGCCAGCGTCAGATGCCAGAGGGCGGTGTCGCGATTCGGGGGGCGGCGGGGCGACCTTGCGAGGCAGTCGACGAGCGTGGTGCGTCGCTGGATGAACTCATCATGATGCGGCCGAACAAAGGACAGCAGGCGACGAGCGCGATGGCGCAGGTGACGGGATCTGCGGCGCGCAGGGAGCGGCTCCGCAAGCACGGGCAAGTAGCGGAGGGCACCCAGGGAGAGGTGGGCGACGCGGCGCGCTACTGGGGGCCACTGATCTCGCCAAGGAGCACGGCGGAGCGCGCGATGCCACGGATATGAGAGGTGGCGAAGTCGCAATTTTATGTTTCGGGGGCTTGGCGGTGCCTTCGGGGCGGAAGCGAGTCGCTCGAGTTGCTGGTCAACGAGATGCACTGGGCGCTCTGATCTCCGGCGTGGAGCGATTTTGCCCGTCGGAAGCAAAGATAAGGTCGCCGCCGATGTGTCTGGCGGGGCGGGGGGGGGGGGGCGCGGCGATCTGGCGCGAGGGCGGCGGCGCCGCGAGCGTCGCGGCGGGCGCGGCGCTGGAATGCTGGAAGTTGATGCGCGCGGTCACGGGGCGCCAAAGCTGGGCGGGGCGACCGCGGCGCTACCCGCAGCTGCTGTCCGCGCGCGGAGACAGGCTTCGCAGCGGGCGCGGCGAGCGGTGCGGATGTCGGCGAAGCCGCGCGGGCGAACGAGGACGACGCGGATAGGCTGTGCGATTTGGGTAGGACCCCGTGGACTTTCGGTGCCGGGCGAGAAGCTGGCGGAGAAGTGTCAGCCGCGGGAGTTAGCGGGTAGAATTATTTGATTATGCCGCTGCGCCTGTCGTTGGCGGATTTGGGTCGCGGGTTTCGACCGTCGGTTGCGCGCCCGCATTCGCGGCAATCCGCGTGGCGCCTTTGCGGGGGGGTGTGATGCTGCGTCTCGCGGGGGCCAGGGGCGGCGATGCTCGGGGCGGTCTGCGACGCGAGTCAGACTGCTCATTCGCATAGCCGGCTCCGCGCGCCCGGCGACAGTCGCCGGGCGTGTTGCCCTGGCCCGGGGCGCGCGGCAGCGCGCGGTCACGTTTTGGCGACCTCCAGGAGACGTCTCGAGGTTTTCGCAGGGCCCTCTTGGGGCCCTCTTGGGGGGCGTGATGGAAGCTTCCTGGGCCCCCTCTCGTTCTGTCTGCGGGGCCTCGAGTTGCTGCGCGAGGGCGTCTTGGGGATCGTCGATCAAGGAAGTGGGGGCGACCAATTGCGCCCCCCCCCCCCCCCTCGAATGGCGAAACATTTCATCTCGGGGCTCTGTTGGGACTCTCTCGGGGGCCCCAGGGGCCGTCGCGGGCGCCGCCTGGGCCGGCCGTCGCGGGCGCCGCTTGGGCCCCCCGCCGGGGTCGGTCGGGTCGGGCCAACTAACAAGGGGCCGCGCTATAGGGCCTTCGAGAGCCCGGACCCCGCCCTGCGGCGCGGCCCTGCGCGCGCGTGACAAACATCTGGGAATGGCCACGGCGATCCGAAATAGACGCCCTGCCGCCCCTGCCGTCTGCCTCTCCGAACTCAGGGGGGCCCGCCCTCAGGGGCCCCCCCGTTGCTGAGTTGACAAGAAGGGCCCGCCGCGACTTGAACATTGAACCCGCCGCGGCCCACGGCGTGCTGCGCGCGCCGGTTTGAAACAGTTTCTGTTCGCGCGGGGGCTGCCTTCTCTCGCGCTGGTTACCATGCGCATTCGCTCGTTCTCATGCGGGCTTCCACCGACGATCGGGCCAGGTCGCCGCGCCGCGGCTGCCCGGGCCAGCGCCCGGGGGGGCGGGCGGGCCCCGGCCCGGGGAGCAAGCTGGCCCCGGAGCGCAGTCCGGGAAACCCCGCCGGCTCTGCGCCCCCGACATGCCGCCTGCGCGGGGTGGGGGGGCTTGAGATGGCCCCGAGGCGACCCCGAGAGGGTCCCGCCTGGCCCGAGATGGCCTCCATGATTGCACAATGTGTCCAGATCTGGTTCAACGCGGCTTCCGGCGCTCCTCCGACGAGCTCCGAGTGGCCGAGGGGCCCCCCGAGGGCCCCCCCGAGATGCCAGATCATTCAGAAGCCATCAGAAAGTCAGCGCGTTGTCATTATCTCGCCTCTCGCGCCCGATGGTTCCTTGATTCGCGGGCGCCGCTCCGCGGCGACCTTCGCGATCCCGTGGAGGGGCGCGGGGCGGCGCCGAAGGCGTCCGGTGGCGCCCCGAGAGCGGCCCAAGGGGGCCCCAAGGCGCCGTTCTCCTGCCCCCGAGGGCGGGGCGCGATTGCCCCCCCCGCCCCCCCGCGTTGATCGACTGCTTCCAAGAACGCCCCGGGAGGCTCTCCAAGGCCACCGAGAGGGCCCCGCGAAACACAGCGAGGCTCAAAGGAGGACCCCATGGGCCCAAACAGGCTCCAGGAGGGCCCCGCGACCCCCCGATGCCGCCGCGAGGGGCCTGGGGCGTAACTGCACGCCGCGACGCGCGCCTGGCCTTTGCAACTCGCCTGGCGGCGTTTTTTAGTCGATCGGCTGGCGGCGGCGCTCGAAGCGGCGAGAATGAGTCGGCAAACGTGCCTTTGCACTGTTCGACGCGCTTCCAAACAAACGGGCAGCGCCGCGCGGGCCGAGCTGCAGGAGTCGGAACCACGCGCCCGAGCGTGGCCGGGGGGGGTCACTGGAGACGGCCGCGCGCCTGCCGATGAGTCGTCGTTTTTGAAAAGCTCAGCGCGACGCTTAGATGATCATTTTGCGACGAAGAACGCGGCGCATCGCCGGGCGCGCATCTCTAGACGCCCCCGTGGGAGAAGTTTGCGCCGCGAGATTTCGCGATGGCGAGCTGGGGCAAGCTGGCCGCGGGGGCCCCGCCGCCGGGGGGCGCGGCTGGGCCGACGGAGCTGGGGGGGCGAGGTGCAGGAGGAGACGCCCCGCTGATCAACATTTTCGCGCGCGGAGCACCGATGGGGGGCGGCGGGCGCGGCTGAACTTGCCGCGCGACTGGGCGCCGGCCTCTCCGCTGCCAGCGCGGCGCGCGCAACATTCGCCGCGCGGCGAAAGGCAATTCGCGCATGCCGTGCCGGAGGTTCTGCTCGGGGCAGCGGGCGACGGCGGGGCGCGTCGAGAGGGGCCCGCAGCGGGGGCGGCGCGCGAGACGCGAGCGTCGGGTCGCGCGCCAAGGTCGGGCCATCGGGAGATTGTCAGACGACCTCTGCGAGTTCGATGGGGGGGCGGTCGGGGGCCTTTTCAGGGGCCGCCTTGGCTCGGGCCACTTGCTTTGGACGGCGCGAGTTTCGCCGCCGCAGAGAGCTGCGAGCAGTGGCGGAGGTCGACGCGCCGTCGCGGCCCATGCGCGGGCTGGAGCGCGCGGGGCCCGCGGGCCGACGGGCGCTAAGTGGGGGCAGTTGAAGGCGGAGATGGGCGCGGCGAAGGCGTCGGCCCATGGCGAGGGCGAGGCGGCGGAGGCGAGCAAGGCAGCGGCGAGGCTGCCCACCTCGACGGCGCGGAAGATGGCATCAGTCAAGGACGCGTTGACGGCGCCTTGGGGGGCGAGCTCATCGGCGCTGGCCTGGGTCGCGGCAAGGATAGCCACGGCGCGGAGGGGGGTGGCCGGCCGGCGAGGGGGTGGACTTCAGGTCGAGAGGGGGCCGCACATCAGGCCACGCGCGAAGGTGCCCCATTGAATTATGAAGGCGAGCTCGCCAGAGGGAACTGCCGAAGCCAGCCCTCAATAAGACGCTGCAGGAGCTGTGGGGGAACGTGGCGGTGAAACGCGCGCCGAAGCTGATTGGGCAGGCGCGCAAGCAGTTCCGCTACAAGAGGAGCAGGGCGACGGGTGCGCCGAAGTTCGGGGCCCTGGCGATCAGCTTCAGCACAGGCGGAGCAGGCGCGGTGATCGGAGGCCCGATCCGAGGGTGCATGGGCCGCTGGGAGAAGCGGAGGTTGTCTCTGGCCTTGCGCCACGAGACCCCTTCGAGCGCGAATCTCCCCGATGCCCGGCGGTGCTCGCGGCCTGATGTGGAGCGACAGGCTTCGAGAGTTGATCGAGCGTGGAGCGATGCCCGCGAGCGCGTTGGCAAACCTCTTTTGATGCATATGAATCCATTGCTGCCGCAGATCCCTGTTGCGGCCCCGGCCAGGGCGACTTCGAGTAACCGAGAAAAGAGTGTAGCCGTGGGGTGCCGTCGCGGGTCGAGGAGCGAGGGCGGGTGAGAAGGCGGCACCAACCATAATTACATGGGGAGTTTCGGCCATTTGCTATCATCTGGCCTCCCCCCTGCACCTCGGATGTCGTTGGGGGCCCGATGTCCAGGGGATGGGGGGGCGGCAAAAGCCCCAAAGTAGGACGTTTTCCCATAGCGGGTTCCCCGCCTGGCTGCGTGCCGTAGTGTTGGGCGGCCTTGTAGGTGGCAGCGCGGGCCTTGTGGTTGATGGGGCCGATCGACATCGTGTATGTTTCGCCTGGGCGTCACCTTGCGATGCTCCGAACCCTCCAACGTTTCTTGTTCCTCTCTCAATATGTTTTTCTTTATTTATCTTTATTTGTTTGTCTCTCTCTCTCTCTCTCTCTATATATATATGCCCGCGTTCAAGTTTTCCGTGGCGGTACCCGATTCGATGATGAGGATGAGGATGATGAGGATGCTCCTTAATATGAGGGCGATGACGATGATAGTGATGTTGCTGATGATGGTGCAGAAGATGAGGAGGAGGACGAAGAGGAGGAGCAGGAGGAGAAGGAGGAGGAGGAGGAGGAGGGAAAGGATGATGATGACCTGCTACGCTCGAGGGAAAGGATGATGATGAGGAGGAATAATAGGATGGGGAAATGTAGAGTAAAACGAGTTGGGAGGATGGGGGCGGACAGTGGGGAGGGGAGGATGTGACAAACAGGTGAGTTTGATGATGTTGATGGGCTGGGGCCAGGGGCAGGACATCCTTTACATCAAGAAGGCGAAGCAGTTCGCCGACCTGATGGACAAGATGACGACCTGCGACCCCGAGAGGGGCTGGGCGGGTCTGTTCAGGCTCATTTTTCGGAGGGGACACGCACACACACACACCTGCTCCAAACCTGGTCGGGCCGGCCCTGGGCTCACGATTGGTGCGCACGCTTCGGGCACCAAAGGCCGCAACATGTGACACTTGCCGTTTTGAGGCTGTACTGGGCGTGCGTTGGTTTCTCGTGGGACCTTCTTTGGATTACTTTGGACCTTGATGCTGTCTTGGGCTTATTTGACCCGTCGAGGCATTTTGTTGGCCAAGTCGTGGGGGCCACCTTGGGTCCCTCTTAGTTTCTTTTTTTATCCGGAGGCCCTCAGCGGTCTCGTTTGATTGTTCTTTGTCTCGGGCTGGGCGAAAGGGGGGGATTGGGAAAGGGGGGGTTACGAAATTTGCTGCATGCAGCTGGTTTTGGCCTCACCGAGGGGCCCATTCCTCGATACATGGCCGCCTTCGGCGCCGGGAGGCGCTGGAAAAATCAGCTACGTGAGCTGATTCTCAAACCCCCCCTTTGCTATCCCCCCCTTTCGCCCGACCCGATTGTCTCCTCCGAGAACCAACTGCCTGGAAGTCTCTAGAGCTGAGATGTCCAGGAACGCAAGCAAGCATGCTCTGTTTCATTTGTCCTGGTGACGTTTGCCTTGTAGGGGGTCCTCCTGATATTTGTTTTGACTCACCCATCAGCCTGGTTGCAACCGTCCCGCGTAACTTGTCCCAGGCCGGGTGTGAGCCCTTTGGGTCGGGAATCGGTGGCTCGTGGTCTCCAGGACGATCTCCCGTATTGTCTTCCGTATGACCTCCGTTTTTGTCTTTGGTATCGACTCTTGTCTGGTCTTCCGTGAAGTTGTCCGTAAGGTTTCTTGTCTGTTTTCCCGTATCGTCTCCCGTCTGGTCTCCCGTGGGGTTTCCGTTTTGGTGTCTAGGTTCATTATGGCCGATGCTTTTTTATGGTCGGCTCTATGGCCCCTTTCATGGCCCCGTCATCTGTTGGTCTTCATTCTGGCCAAGCCGTATGGCCTCCCGTATGTCTTCCCGTAAGGTCCTTCTCATGACCTCGTAAATGGTCTGCCTTCGAGTTCGGAGGTGATTCCTGGTGTATTGTTGGGAGCTGGCGGGTCGCTCTTGAAGCACGCGTCTGTCGTCGTGGCAGTTCTTCTCAGCCGCGTCCCTATGGATACAGAACACTTTTCGCGAGGGCATGGATATGGACATGCTCGTAGCTCGTGACTCATCCATTACAGCTAAACCCCCTCCAACCCTGAAGGGTGCGCGGGCGCGCGAAGGAATGGAGAGGAGGGACCAGGGAGAGGAGGAGAGGAGGAAGAGGAGGAAGAGGAGGAGGAGGAGGAGGACCAGGAGGAGGACAAGGACAAGGACAAGGACATCCGCATAAAGGGGGTACAACGTCCTAGCACCTACTCAGTTGACCTACGCTCTACTGTCAAAATCCCTTGCGATTTGTTGTGCTACAGCCCTGTCTTCTCACTAGGGCCGACAAGGGGCATTAAGAGGAGGAGGAGGAGGAGGAGGAGGAGGAGGAGGAGGAGGAGGAGGAGGAGAGGAGGCGGAGGAGGTGGAGGAGGAGGAGGAGGAGGCGGAGGGGGGTAGAACGCAGCGATTTCTGATCCATGTCCGTGCAACGTCAAAAGGGGGCGCGAAGGAGGGTTATGATATCATGAGGACCCCGATGGCGGAGGTGTGAATCTAGAGGCATCTCGAGGCCCCTGGACGGTCTAGAGGCCTTTAGGAGCTTAGCCCAGCACCCTGATACTCTTTTCCTGTAACTTATGGTTCAGGGGAAGGGGGGGCTTCAGCCTCCTTTTCAGGTGTGCGGTCTGATGTACTGAACAGCTCCCGCGCTCTCGCTATCGATGCATCTCTGATGTCGGCGAAGCCTTTGGAGTTCGGGAGTCTGATCACATGTGGTAAGCGGGACGACGGTCACGACAGTCACGACGGAACAGCCAATGTGTGGGAGATAGTTGACGACGAGGGCGACAACAACCGCATGACACGCGGGCAGCAACACAGTACAGAGGCCACCTCGTGGGATCCTTGGGCACGGTGGACACGGTCATCACCACAGCGAGGAGCTCAACGGGTCCCCACTTCACGAGCATGCAGGAGTCAGTCCACACGGGATGCTTGGTGGGCAAGCGAGGACTACGACGATTGGGGCAATTCCGAGGAGCGGTGCAACATGTTCGAAGGGTGTGGCAGGGGTTCCGAAGAGGGGTTACCAGAACGAAATGTCACGAGGGTTCGGCGCACCAGATCAGGTCAAACAAACGGTCATGCAGGTCCAGCTTCGAGCGCAAGACGATCACGATCTACATGAACGGAGAGGAGGCAGGAAGGGCGAGAGCACTCCATGCCCAGCGTGGGACGGCAAGGACCTGATCGAGTGGCCCGAGAAGCGGCTGGCCATAGACAGACGGAGCAGGCGCGCGGCGATCTTGCCACAAGATCACGGCGAAACATTACTATTCCACTTGACCGAGGAAGCGGCGACGGCGACGAGGCATTTACGCCCAGGCAGCGCGCAGTACCCTGGAGGCTTTCAGGAGGTGGTTATGGCCTTGGACGCGCTCGTGTTCCCAGAGGTGGACGCGGAGACCTTTCAGCAGCTGGAAAAGACAGTGTTTGCAGCTCCGAGGTCAAAGGACGAGGCGCTGATGAAGTTCACGGGTCGCGTTAGGCCTGAGCAGAATGAACTCGACAGGCTACTGCCGAACGCGCCCGACGAGACGGTAATGGGGTTTCTGCTACTACGGGGGGGCATGTCTTGCCAAGACGCAGAGGAACCAGGTGCTGGCCCAGACGGGCTACGACTACAACTTCGACAAGTTGGTGGCCATCTTGAAGAGCATGACCGACGACAGTTCGGTGACGGAAAGGACAGCCCCAACAACGACGAGGATGGCCCACTTGGCCGGGGCCAGCGAGGAAGGAAAGCAGACGGATTCGGACGAGGTCCTGGAAGCTGACGGAGTTGCTTACGACGCGGTGGCCAACGTGCTCGGCATCGAGGGCGACGGGCACCACGAGAACGGTGAGCAGGGGGAAAGAGGCAAGCCTCTGACCGAGACGGAAGCGCTCGACTGCCTGGCGGCCATCATTTCACCACCTTCGAGGCCGAGGGCCCGGGGCGAAGCGCGGAAAATGGTAGCAGATAAAAAGACCAACGTTGGTTTCCACAACCTGGAGGATCGCAAGAAGGTCGAGGGGAGGGTTGAAGACATCCAGAAAAAGGACAACGTGTGGAATGCGCGAGAAGCTGGGGCACTGGCATCGAGAGTGCCCAGAGAATCTGAAGAACAAGCAGAAGCCGACAAGAGGTTTCATCGCGATGGCGGTTCTTCAGGACGACGAGGCGTGCAGCTACATCTCGACCAGGGCGAAAATGGCGTCGAGGTCGAACTTCGCGGGTAGCATCGAGAAGTCGGGGCGACCAGGCTGGGGATCAGTGGGCACCGCCTGCGACTTCAACATGATGGGCATGGCCACATTCGACGCCTGGGTCAAGCGCTGCAAGGAGAGGCGCGGGGTCACGCCCCAGACGATTCCCTACCGCGGGAAGTACGGGTTCGGGAACGACCAGGTCCGTGCCGCGACGGAGGGAGTCATCATTCCGATCGTGCTAGGCCAGTTCTGCGGGGTCATCTTCGCGCGCCTGGTCAAGGGCGCTGCGCCGCTCTTCTTATCCAAGATGTTCGTCATGGTTCTGAAGGCCTTACTTCGCGCGTTTCAATCTAAGCTGGGCCTTCCTGAGAAGAGTGTGAGGCGCCCTTTGGCGCGCGCTGGCGGGGGGCATTTCTTGCCACAGCTGGGCAATTTCACGAAATCGCGGAGTGAGCCTGCCAGCTGGTCAACGTGCGCGGAGGGGGCGCCGGCGGATTGCGGCGCGCGCCCCGAGTGCGAACATCAATCCAGATCCACCTCAGAGACAGCCAGAACCCATCGGGAAGTTGAGAAGTGCAGGTTCGCGGGTGTCTGGGGCCCTGCGGACGATGCGAACAACGAGGCTAGACCGCGAGGAATGAAAATGGCGTGCGAGGGAGAGCCTGGTAGCACTAGTAGCACGAACACTTAGGATCTAGAGGAGCAAACGACCTGTCGGACCAGCAGAACAGGGGCAACAGCAAGCGCAACGAGAGCAACTCCGAGCACAACAGCAAGCGCAACGAGAACAACTTCGACCGCGGCAACCTCAGAAACCAGGACAAAAGAGCACTGCAACAAGTTAGGCAGGGATAGAAGGGCTATATCAGCAAGCAACAGCAGCAGCAATAAGCTCGATAGCCAAATCGGCTGGAGCCAGAGTGACAGAGCGAGCTCTTGGAACACCAGTTCTTCCAAGCTGCATCTATTTCTACATGTCATGCGGCGAGCTCGGCCCTCGCCGCCCATCTCATCGCGAGGACCAGCGCCCACGACCCCCTCGCGCGCAGGCTACGGCGCCACGGGCAGCAGCAGCAACAGCGCCCAAGAAGCAGCCGACCTCGATTCATGCGCAGGCTACAACGTCACGGGCAGCAGCGGCAGCAACATCAAAGGAGCAGCCAGCGGCCAACAAGCCGATCAGGAAGGACAAGCCGCCGAGCTACCAGTGGCCGTGGCGCGAGATCTGCGACGGAGCGCGACCGTGCATGCCGACAGTCGGAGCGACGAAAAAAGGCGCCGCCCCCCCTCGCCTAGCGTCTGAGGAGAAGGAGGGGAGGAGGAGGAGGAGGAAGAGGAGGAGGAAACGGAGGAGGAAGAGGAGGAGGAGGAGGAGGAGGAGGATGGGCGGCCTGAAGGTTCAGGTGACCAGGCGAGCCTAGGGGCCCGATCCGCCTCGGCCCCGAGGCGTTGAGGCAGCGGGGAAACGCGGAGGCCTCTTTGGAGCCGATTTGGAGTGTTATAGGGGCCTCTTGGGGCATCTTGAGAGCCATATTGACGCATCGTGCGCTATCTTGAGCCATGTTGGGTGTCATTTTAGCCTCTCCGGGGCCATCTTGGGCCATTTGGGATGCTCCAACCCTCGTGACCATTCACGTCCAGGTCCACGGGGGGTGGGGGATGGGATGAGGGTCGAGATTCCACCCCCGCCTGCGAGCCGTCTCGGTCGCTCCCACCCGCCCTCCCAACACATACGTAGCACCCGAGCCTGGCCCGAGCCGCAGCATATTCAGCAGTCGCTTTTGGATGGGCAGCCAATCCGCCGCCGCCGCCTCCGTTGCCGCCGCGCCGCCCGCGCCGCCGCCGCCGCGCCGCCGCCGCCGCTGTCTGCCGCCGCCGCCGCGCCGCCCGGCGCCGCCTTCCGCCGCCGCCGCCGCGCCAGCCCGACGCCGCCGCGCCGCCGCCGTCGCCCCGCTGCCGAATCGCCGCGGCCGCGCCGCCGCAGCCGCTGCCGCCGCAGCCGCTGCCGCCACCGCCGCCGCCCCGCCGCCGCCGCCACGCCGACGCCGCCGCCGCCGCCGCCGCCCCCGCCGCCGCCACCGCCGCCGCCGCCACCGCCGCAGCCGCCGCAGCCGCTGCCCCCGCCGCAGCAGCCGCAGCCACCGCCGCCGCCAAGTGTATTCGGTATTGTTTTTTGACAGGGATGGTGGGGGGAGGCCGCATCGGGTTCGCCGCGCATGCTCCGAACTTGGGGGCGGAGCGTGTTTTGTATTGTTGGCAGGGGGGGGCCCCGCATGGTCCCTGTTGGCTCCCAATCGCCTGGGGGAGGGGTGTATATCAATAGGGAACAATGATAAACCCCTCCCCGAAGGGGAGGAAAGGGGGTTGGAAGTGGAATCTCCTAAACCACCTGCGCCCAGAGGGCTGGTGGGATTGCCATGCAATTGCCGTGTTCTTGTCGTGCTTGTGACATGACATTGCCAGTATGTTACCATGCAGTTGCCACGCGTTTGCCATGCGATTGCCATGCAGTTGCCATGTGGCTGGCCGTACTGCTGCCGTGCAAACGCCATGCAATTGCCATGACAATGCCGTGCAGTTGCCATGCGATTGCCCTACAGTTGTCATACAGTTGCCATGCTGTTGCCATACCGCTGCCACGCTACAGCCATGTAGTTGCCACGCACTTGCCATGCTATCGCCATGAGGTTGCCGTGTTGTGCCATACAGATGCCATGCCATTGCCATGCAGTTGCAATGCTACTGCCATGCCGTTGCCACGCAACTGCCATGCGATTGCCATGCAGTTGCCATGCAGCTACCATGATATTGCCATGCAATCGCCATGCACTTGCCGTGCAGTTGCCATGTGACTGCCATGGTGTTGCCATGCCATTGTCATGCAATTGCCATGCAGTTGCCATGGTAATGCCATGCGATTGCCGTGCAGTTGCCATACAGTTGCCATGGCATTGCCAAACTGTTGCCATACAGTTGCCGTGCACTGCCCACCGTATTGCCATGTCGTTACCATGCAAGTGCCATGATATTGCCATGCTGTCGCAACGCTACTGCCATGCCGTTACCACCCAATTGTCATGCGATCGCCATGCCTTTGCCTTGCAGTTGCCATGTGACTGCCATGGTGCTGCCATGCCATTGTCATGCAATTGCCATGCAGGTGCCATGGTAATTGATGCCACGCAGTTGCCATGATACTGCCATGCGATTGTCGTGCAGTTGCCATACAGTTGCCATGGCATTGCCAAGCTGTTGCCATACAATTGCCATGCAATTTCCATGATATTCACATGTTGTTCCCATGTAGTTGCCATGCCATTGCCATGCAGTCGCCATGGTACTGCCATGCAATTGCCACGCAGTTGCCATGCAATTGCCATGCTATTGTCATGTAGTTTCCTTGCACTCGCCATGCAGTTGCGCTGCTATTGTCGTTATGCTGCCATGCCGTTTCCATGCTTTTCCCATGTTGTTGCCATGTGTTTGCCATGCTGTTGCCATGACAGTGGGAGGTCTGGGGGCTTCGGCCGCGCGCCGTGGGGAGGCAGAGGGCAGGGGGGAAGGCTTCTGAGAAGCACCCGTGCTTTTCAGAAGGCGCAGGGCGTGTATGTAGGTGTAAGGCCGGCGCTCTCTAAGAAACCGCCTCCTGCCAAGGAGCCTTCCCGCCTCCCCCTTGCCCCCCTGCGCGCGCCCGCCAAGAGTTCGCCGGGGGGCAGGAAACGGGTGTCCGCGGACGAGGCGCTGTCGCATCCTTTCGTCACCGAGCCGGGACCTGGCGCCCCGGCGAAGGGCGGCTCCCAGGGCGACAAGGCGCTTCCCCGCGTCGCCGTCGCCGTCGTCGAGGTCTTCGTCGTCGTCGTCGTCGTCGTCGTAGTCGTCGTCGTAGTTGTAGTCGTCGGGGGATAAGGAGGAAGGGAGAGGCAGAGGAGGAGGAGAGGGCGTGAGGCATTCGAGGCGGAGCAAAATGGGGATCGGAACGGTGTGGGGGGGGATGGAATGGGGCTGGTCGAAGGGGGGGAGGTTTGGGAGAAGGGTGACGAGGAGAGCGAGCACAGGACGAGGAGGAGGCGCGAACAACATGGTTAACAGGATGCGTGTTGCTCGGGGGGGCCCTGCCGCTGGGCAACCTCCCGAATATGAGCGACGCAGCGGCTGGACGTGTGCAGCACGACCAGCGTTGCAGCGTGCTTCTCCGAGGTTGCCAGGCGGCGGCGTTGCTGCAAAAGCTCGCCCCGCCGTTTCTCCCGGCGACCTGGAGCTCCCACTCCGGCACCTGCAGCAGGAACTGACGCGCTTGGACCCGCTGGCGCTCGTTCAGCACGGGCGCGCGCTGCCGCCTGCCGTCTCGTCGGTTCGGCCGAGGCTTCCGCAGGCAGGAGGGGCGCCCGCCCGCTGCCGGAGCGGGACAGGGCAGCCGTCGAGGCCGAGAAGGACAAGCGCTTGGCAGCGCGCCCAGACCAGAGGGAACAAGTGGACCAGTCCTATTCGAGCGCAGGGTACAAGCATAGGAACACCCCCATCAGCATCTCCGCAGCCGAGGGCTGGTTCGACCCGGGCAGGGGGCCCAAGTCGGCCCAAACGCGCAGCGCGCTCCTCGTTCTTCCCGCCAGGCGCTGCCGAGTGAGCGACCTGGGCCTGGAGGAGGGCACCTGGTGGCGCGACGTCGCCAACGAACGGGGCGACGGAGAGACGGAGCGCGTCCGAGCAGGCGAGCCCCTAGGCGCATTGCTCAAGGGCTGGCGCAACGCTCTGCTCGAGTTCTCCGAGGAGGACCGCGAGAGGGTCTTCGAGGCCATCGACGCGCGGGGGCAGCCGAGGCTCTAGACGGACCAGCTCAAGCAGCAGCGCGGCAAGAGCCTCATGTTCGCAGACTGCCTTTCGAGCCAGTGGGCCGAGGCAGTAGCGCTCCGAGCGTGGCTCGAGAATGTGGCCCACGCGCCCGCGGCCCCCGACGCCACGAGCTTTTTGCAGGAGCCAGGCCCGCGAACGCAGCCAGCTTGAGGCCGCGATCCGAAAGGTCTAGGCAGAGATGCCCTGGGCCATGGAGCATGACTGGGTCCATAAGGCCAAGGCCGAGCCCGAGAAGCAGCGCAAGTCCCTGACCCAATGGGGGCCATGCGGGGGCCTCTACTGCGTCTCCAAGGCCTGCGCCCGCTTTCGCGAGAAGAACAAGGAGGCGGCGCCGCTCCGAGGGCTGCGAGCGAATCGCTTGCTCGCGGCCCGGCCGACAGAGCAGGGCGAGTTCATGGTCGTCGCCGGCCTAGGGCCGCGGAGCTCCACCGTCGAGCCCGGTCGCGGCATCGAGCGGAGGCTGGCGAGCGAGCGCCTGGAGGGCATCCAGAGCTGGCCTGGGGGCGCGCCGCCCGTGCCCGAGTGGAGCGCCCCCGGCGGGAAATGCTTCCACTTCGGGGACTTGCCCAGGGACTACGAGCAGGACGCGAACCCCTGCCTCCGGAGGCTCCGAGAGCTGGACCTCGAGCTCGCCGACGAGCAGAAGGACGTCTCAAAACGCCAGAGGAGCAGATCAGGCAGGTCCAGTTCCCGCGCGCCCTCGATAACCGGCTCAAGCTTTACCGCGCACGCGTGCGCAAGAAGAGGTGCGCGGCCAAGTTCTCGGGCCAGTTCCCAGGCAAGCTGCGGCGCAAGTGGCAGCGCGCGAAGGCCGAGACTGGCGGCGAGGCCTCGCTCGAGCACCTGAGCCGAGGCGCGGCCGAGGCTGAGCTCACAGGTAGGGCGCCGACGGCCATGGCGAGCTTCTCCCAGTAGTTTCAGTCCAAGACGCAAGCGGAGAAGGGCGCCAATCAGAAAAAGAAGGCGAAGGCGAAGGGATCTCAGGCTTGCGAGGGCCCCCCCTGGCACGGCAAGGCGGTCCGCGTCGCCGAGGGGGGGGCCCGCGAGGGCGAGCGCGGCAGAGTCCGGGAAGTCTGGGGAGTCCTGGACACAGAGGGCGCCTACCGTCTCCGAATGCACGAGGTGGAGACAGCGGCGATCTTCCAGACCCACGGCGGCGAGGCTCGGATGCCCAGAGGCATTCGTTTGATTCAGCCTGCTTCCGCCTGGGCGGGAGCTAGCGGAGACGGCGAATTTTGGCGGCGGCGGCGGGAATTGGAGGAAAGTTGGCGGCGGAAGCGACGGCGGAAGCTTCGGGCCAGGAGGCGGCGGAAACCAGCGGGAACGAAAACGGGAGCTGGTGGAATTTGGAAGCAGCGAAGCGGAAGCAGGCGGGAGGTAACGAGTTCGTGTGAACACCGAGCATCACGGGCCGCGATCGAGCAGGGCAGCCAGGCCAGGCCCCAAAGCCGCAGAAGCTCGACTGGCGCGCGCGCAGACAGGTTCGCCGCGCCGAGCTCGCCGAGGAGCGCGCGATCATGACCTTCGAGCCGATCGCGATGGGCGGCGCCCCGAGCTGGGCACGGCGCGCGCTGCCGGGCGAAATCGAGAAGCGCGCGGGCGCCCCCGGGGCCGTTCTGGCGGTCGAGCCCACGGCGGCCGTCGCCTGGGCTCGACAGGGCCAGGGCGAGGGCGAAAACAGCGGGCCAGCAGCCCGAGGAGCAAGGGCGCTGGGCGGAGAGAGTTAACGAGGCCGAGCACCTGCTGATCGCGGTGCATTCCGAGGCGCCCGCGCACTGCACTTACCTCGAGGTCGGTGGTTGCTGCGGTTGTCCCTGCCCCAAGGTGCCTTCAGTTTTTTGCTCCCTGTCGGGGCGAATCCTGGAGACACCTGGGGCGGGGGGCGTTTGTAGTAACGCCCGCAATGGTGTCCAAGAGGGGCGCGGGCACGGCCGTCGAGCACCGCGACGCCCTCGAGCAGCCATCCGAGAACGCCAAGCATGCCGCCGCGAGGACCCCCCGAAAGCTCGGCGCCATTGACCCTGGCGAGGACCGCCCTGCGAGGGGCAGCGAAATGTTCCAGGTCGATGGCTGGTCTTGCGGACTCTGGGCGGGTCGGCGCGTCGAGCGCGCCCCGCGCGAGACCCGGGGCGAGGGCCGCCAAGCGCCCGCCGACCGCAACGCGATGCGCGCTCGAGGCGACGAGCGGGCCCGCAAGCTCGCCGCGGGGGCCAACGACGACGACCTGGCCGGGGCCGAGGCCAAGGCCAAGGCCAAGAGCAAGGCCAAGGCCAAGCCGCCCGCGGACCTGACCGCGCTCGAGCCCTAGCACGAGATCGCGGAGGAGGCGAACGCTGCCGCCCAGGCCCTCAGCAAGTGCCTGCCGCGCAAGGACGGCGCCAAGGGGCGCGGAGCCTGCGTGGGCGAATGGGTCGAAGTGGCGCGCAAAGGAGGTTTCATGGCCAGGGCCGCCAAGGGCCTCTCCTGCGCCACCGCTATGCGCGAGACTCGAGGACACCGAGGACAGTTGTGTGCGAGCATCTAGTTACACGAGCGCCCAGGATCATCATCATCACCAGCATCGTCATCTCCATCTTCATCACCATCGTCCTCGGCCGGGAAAATGGTTGATTCTCCCCCCGGGCCGCGGGGGCGTTGGGCTACAGGGGCGTAGGATTTTTTGCAAGGAGGAGGAGCGGAAGAGGGGGGCAACGAGGAGGACGAGGAGGAGGAGGAGGAGGAGGGGGAGGGGGGAGGGGACGGCGAGGAGGACGAGGGGGGGGGGAGGAGGAGGAGGAGGAGGAAGAGGGGGATGACGACGATGACGAGGAGGAGGAGGAGGAGGAGGAGGAGGAGGAGGAGGAGGAGGAGGAGGAGGAGGAGGAGGAGGAAGAGGAGGGGGAAAGGGGCGACGACGTCGGCCGCCATGCCCAGGGCCCGAAGTCCAAGGAGGGCGCGCCCGCGCAGGGCAAGCCCAAAGACGCCAAGGAGGGGGTGTGGTGCAGCCCGCGCGCGCGGTCCGTCGGCATCTTTTCAGGGGATCGCAAACATGGATCAATGGGGGCGTGGATTAGCGACGGGCCCCATTTCCATAGGAAATCGCGGACTTCCGCCGCCGAGCGAGGCGGCACCGGTTGCATTTTGGGGAAGGCGCCTCCCCCGATCCATGGATTTGGCGACCGCGCGCCATCCATGTTTGCGCGCCTCCGATCATTGCCGACGATTGCGCGCAGGTTGTCGGAGGAAGTGAACGGGAAAATCGAGCAGACATGATGGGCCATCAGTGTGTTTGCGCACTGTGTGTTGCTTGGGCATGTTTCCTGGCACGCTTGGGCTCCCCAAGGGGCGTCTGGAATCTTGGGGCCGTCTTTGAGACCTCTTGGGGCCCTGCCGTGGCTATATCCCCCCGCTTAGGGGCGTTTGTGGTGGTCTGGGGCGCTGGGAAAGACCCGCGGCGGTGGAGGAGGAGGAGGAGGAGGAGGAGGAGGAGGCCCAGGAGAGGAATGAACAGGAAAAGGGACGAGGCCGCGCGGTGATGCCAGCGTCGGATGGGTGTTCGTACCTTAAGAACAACAGACAGACCAGCTGATAGGCAATTCGTTGCGTACACCGCTCCGTCGTTAGGCAATGGGCACGGTGGCAAATCCATGCAAACTTCTATTCAAGTCGGGCTTGTCCCTCTACAAGGGGAATGCTTCTAAGCACCTCCAAAATACGCTGGGACTGTTATGTATCGGAGGTGAGGGGGTGAGATCGAAGTGGAACGGACAGCCCCCCTACCGGGAAATTGGTTTCGGTTTCGTGTTCGTGCGTGCCGTGCGTGCGGGCGAGGCGAAGCTGCGTGGGCGGGCGAGAAATGTCCCGCCTCTGGCTGAGGCGCGGCCAGACCAAAAGTCCCCCCCCCTTCCGGCAACCGGTGGCGCGCGGTGTCCCGCCGGTGTCCCACCGGTGTCCCGTCGGTGTCCCGATGATGATGATGATGATGATGATGATGATGATGATGATGATGATGATGTTGATGTTGATGTTGATGTTGATGTTGATGATAATGATGATGATGACGATGATGATGATGATGATGATGGCCATGGTTCTCTTGATGATGGTGCCCCGATGATGATTATGATGATGATGTTGATGCTGCTCATGTTGTTGATGATGGTGTTCAATGATGATGACGATGATGTTGATGATCCTGATGTTGTTGAAGATGATGAGATGATGATGATGATGCTGATGATGGTGTCCCGATGATGATGATGATCAGGTTGATGATAATGCCGTTGATGATGATGGTGGTGATGATTTTGTCCCGATGATGTTGGTGATGATGATGATGATGACGATGATGGTGTCCCGATGATGATGATGATGATGATGATGATGATGCTGATGATGATGATGATGATGATGATGTTGAAGATGGATGATGATGAGGTGATGATGATGATGTTGATGGTGGTGGCCCGATGCTGATTGTGATGCTCATGTCGATGATGATGATAGTGTCCCGATGATGATGATGATGATGATGTGGATGGCGATGATGATGATGGTGACGATGATGGTGGTGTCCCGATGATGCTGATGTTGATGATGATGAGGTTGCTGCTGATGATGATGGTGTCCCGATGATGATGATGAAGATGATGATGATGATGATGATGATGATGATGGTGATGTTGTGCATGATGATGAGAGGATTATGATGATGATGATGATGATAGTGGTGTTCCGATGATGATGATGGTGTCCCGATGGTGATGCCGATGTTGATTATGATGATGGTGACGATGATGGTGTCCCGATGGTGGTGATCATGGTGGCGATGATGAGGATGATGATGGCCATGGTGGTGGTGATGGTGGTGTCCCCATGATGATGATGACGATGATGATGACGATGTTGTTGATGATGCTGATGTTGCTGATGATGCTGGTGTCCCGGAATGATGATGATCCTGGTGATGTTGATGATGATGAGATGATGATATGGTGATGATGAGGATGATGATGATGATGTCCCGATGATGATGATGATGATGAAGATGATGATGATGATGTTGATGATGATGGTTGTGATGATGATGGTGTCCCGATAATCTAGATGATGTTGATGATGATGACGATGGTGGTGTTCGATGATAGTGATGATGATTATGTTGGTGATGAGGATGATGATGATGTGATGGTGATGGTGATGATGATATCACGATGGTGATGATGATGGCGATGCTCATGTCGATGATGATGATGATGTCCCGATGCCGATGATGCTGATGATGCTGATGATGTAGCTGGTGATGATGATGGTGTTTCGATGATGATCATTTTGAGGATGCTGTTCATGATGATGATGATGATGATGGTGATGATGATGATGATGATGATGATGATGAAATGATGATGGTGATGATTTGGTGATGGTGGTGGTGTCCCGATGATGATGATGATGATGATGATGATGATGATGATGATGATGGTGTCCCGATGATGATGTTGATGATGATGCTGGTGACGATGATGGTGTCCCGATGATGATGGTGATGCTGATGGTGCTGATGATGATGTTATGAGGTGATGGTGATGATGGTGCCCCGATGATGATGCTGATGTTGATGACGTTGGTGACGATGATGTCGATGATGATGATGGTGATGATGACGTTGAGTGTTCGATGATTGTGATATCGGTCGTGATATCGATAGTGCGACCGAGTGTGATATATATATATATATATATACATGTATATGTATATGTAAATTGTGATATCGATAGTGATATCGATAGTGCGAGCGATTGTGAGATCGATAGTCATATCGATTGTGAGATCGATCGAATGACATAGTTCGAGTGGTATCGATTGTGAGATCGACTGGGTGAGATCGATCGAGCGAGGCCGATCGTGAGATCGATTGTACGATCGATCGTGAGACCGATCGAGTGAGACGTTGGTTCCCCCCCCCGAGCCTCCTTATCACCCGAAGGGTGGTCGTATAGGTATATATGCATAAAAATCATCTTGGCGATTGACCCAACCATATGCAGTTGTGGGTGCCGCAATTGTGAATACCTTTTCCGGTGAAGCTCCCTGTGGGGCCACAAAGCGCTGCACTGGGTGGGGGGGAATGCATGCGGGCGGTGCCATCGGGTCCGTCGGTGGAGCTCCCTATGGGGTCACGAAGCTCTGTACTGGGTGGGTGAAAATGCCAAATTGTGTGTGTGGGGGGGCGCATGCGGACGGTCCCACTCGGGGCTTCGGTGGAGCTCTTTCTGGGGCCACGAGACGCTGTGCTCTGTGGGTAAAAGTACCAAATTGGGCTTCGGGACGCATGCGGACGGTCCCACTGGGGGCTTTGGAGGTCCTAGTGGGGCCACGAAACGCTATACTGGGTGAGTGAGAGTGCGAAATTAGGTGTGCGGGACGCACGCGGACGGTCCCAGTTGGGGCTTCGGTGGAGCTTTCAATGGGGCCTCGACGCGCAATATTGGGTAGGTGAAACTTTAAAATTGAGTGTGTGGGACGCATGTGGGTGGTCCCAAGTGGGGCTTCGGTATGTGGGTGGTCCCAAGTGACTTCTGTGGAGCTCCCTATTGGGGCCACGAAACGCTGTACGTAGGTGGGTGAAAGTGCAAGAATGCGTGTGCGGGACGCATGCGGGCGGTCCCACTGGGGGCTTCGGTGAAGGTCACTATGGGGCCACGAAGCGCTGAATTGGGTGGGTGACAATGCCAAATAGGGTGTGTGGTACGCATGCGGACGGTCCCAGTGGCCACGAAACGCTGTAATGGGTCTGGCGGACGCATGTTGCCACCCCTATTGGGGCTTCCGATGGAGCTCCCTATGGGGTCACGAAGCGCTGTACTGGGTGTGGCGGACGCATGTGGTCACCCCCACTGGGGCCTCCGGTGGAGCTCAAACGCTGTACTGGGTGTGGCGGACGCATGTGGTCACCTCCACTGGGGCCTTCGGTGCGGCGCCATATGGGGCCACGAAGCGCTGTACTGGGCGTGGCGGACGCATGTGGTACCACTAGGGCCTTGCGTGGAGTTCCCGATGGGGCCACGAAGCGCTGTACTGGGTCTTGCGGACGCATGTGACCACCCCTATTGGGGCCTCCGATGGAGCTCCCTATGGGGCCACGAAGCGCTGTACTGGGTGTGGCGGACGCATGTGGAACCCCCACTGGGGCCTTGCGTGGAGTTCCCGATGGGGCCACGAAGCGCTGTACTGTGTGTGGCGGACGCATGTGGTACTCCCACTGGGGGGGGCACGGGAGGAGGAGGAGGAGGAGACGCGAGGACCGTCTCTTCAAAACGAGGACCAAACACCACAGGATGGTTGGAAACAACACATGCTGGGCAAACTTTGAATATGTTTTGAATACGTGTCATTTTTCGCCCAAGATCCGTATGTAAGGGGACATGCCCGACCTAAATTTATATTTGTGTACAGAGCGAGCGGCTGCGCCCTTGTGCAACACTAGCGCCTCGCAGGCGTCATGTGATTGTTTGTTATTCATTGCTGTGCCGATCGGCGCGGGCCCTCGCCCCCCCCGCCCCCCCCCACCCACTGGAGTAGATCTTGGCTGCTTTGGGCGCCTGCTTCAGGCAGGTGGAGCCTCCCCTCATAGGACGCACTGCTTCAAACAGCCACACTAAGCAGATGTCCAGAGCCAGACCCCCACTCCCACCCCCCCCCTTCCGCCCAATGTCGAAACTCCGAATAAGAAAACGCTCACCATGGGCCCTTGCCTTCCTCATAGTATTTTCCCCAATTCATCTTCCTGTTCCAAGACGTTTTCGTCATCCTCTGCCTCATTGCCCTGCTCCTCATGTTTCCCCGTACACTTTTTTGTGTGCACCTTTTCCACTTGTCTCCTTGTCCTTCTCTTGGTCGCCACTCCTCCGCCGCCTCCGCTCCCTTCGCTCCCCTCGCCCCCTGCTCCGCCTCCCCTCCCCCCGCCGCTCCCCGTCCATTGCGCCAGGTTGACCTGCCGCTCCTTCACATCCTCGAGTTATTCGTTCGCCTTCTCAGCTCCCCATCCTCCCTCCCCGTTCACCTCCCCCTCCCCCTCGTTCGCATACAGGAGATCATCCCCCCACCGATCCGCCTCTGCGATCCACCCACCAGTGTCACATGGCTCGTAGTGGCTCTCGGCCGTTGCGGAGGAGTGTTGTTGATATGGCGGTGGCAAGTGTTGGCTGCGCCAGTGCGTTCTGATTTTGTGGGATCGTGACCAGCGCATCGAATTCCAGAAGGAAGTCCTCTTTCAGCTGTGAGCTCCTGGGTGGTCGAACGAGCCGTCAGCCCTAGAATCTTCTTGGCGCCATTATTCCCTAGTTTGAGCTAACTCCTGCGCAATCAGGCAAGCTCCAGCTCAACCTGAAACAGAAGCTGGACAAGGCCAGTACAGCCAAGACGTTGACAGAAGCAGCAGCTTGGTTTCGGAAGCGGCTCGCTGGTTCATGGGTCCTTCCATGGTTGTTCTTCCACGCTTCCTCGCACACCCTCGAAGGTGTCCCAAATGGGTTTCGCTCCTCATTCAGCGTCCCTTCTTATCGCAGAAGCTCGACCATAGCCCGTCGCCGTGCCCACGAAGACCACCCAGGAGTTGCCGCCCAGGTCCCCAGCGTCATCGAGCTCGAGGCCGAGGCTTTCCTCCCCCTCCTCCTCTTCCTCCTCCCCCTCCTCCTCCTCCTCCCCCTTCGCCTCCGCCTCCTCCTCCTCCTCCTCCTCCTCCTCCTCCTCCTCCTCCTCCTCCTCCTCCTCCTCCTCCTCCTCCTCCTCCTCCTCCTCCTCTCCTCCTCCTCCTCCTCCTCCCCCTCCTCCTCCCCCTCCTCCTCCTCCTCCTCCTCCTCCTCTTCCTCCTCCTCCTCCTCCTCCTCCTCCTCCTCCTCCTCCTCCTCCTCCTCCCCCGCCCGCCTCCTGCCTCGAGGGGAGGGCTCTGGCAGAAGATGACCCTGGAGATCCCCCCCCTTGGCGCCTCAGAGGCGCGCGCGTCTTGGGATGAAGGCCGCACCCGCCGCCGTTCGGGCCAGGGCAGGCTGGGAGGGGGGGACGGGGCCAGTGCGTTTTCTTTGCGAAGACCAGCGAGGTGCATCCTGGATCATGTTGCCAAGACGAGCACGCGCGAAACCGAGACATGCACGGAGATTGGACGTCCGAGTGATGGCGAGCGGGGGGGGGAGTGGCCAGGGGACTCGGAGGTTCGTGGAGCTCCCGCCCCGCTGAGGCGATCAGCGGATCGGCCTGTCTCAGTTCTGGAGAAGGGGGTGTCGGGAGGCGCCGGGAGCAACCGGCCTTTTTTTGATCGTGGGGGGATCGAGGAGGAAGGTGGCCCCCGAACTGGCCCCAAACGGCCCCCCAACTGCCACCGCGGTGCGCCGTCCTTCACCCCACGTTGGTTGTTCCCCCCGTCCGCCACAAATACCCGACTGCTATTACCGCCCCTGCGTCCGACCCGAGAGAGAGAGAGAGAGAGGCTGGGTTTTCCTTGGGGGGCGCTTGTGCAGTTGTTTTTCGCGCTCCGCAGTCTGGACAAGGGGGCTGCTCTTTGTCAGTGGGGCGGCGCGAGAGCACGAAGATGGTATTGGCTCCTTCAGCGCAAGGTTGGCTGACCTAATTAGTCGAGGGAAAGATGATGAAGAGGAGGAGGAGCATCTCAGTGTACACCCAAGACACATCAACAATGTTGGAAGAAGCCCTCCCTCCAAGTTACCTCTGCACATGGCCCTGCAATAATTGTTAGCAGTACGGAGATTGCCCTACGGAAAGACAACCGCGAGAGTATCCGATCTCGTGCCAGAGTATCATTCTTGGGACTTCAACGCTGCGAATCAACGTGACTGTCGCGCCCCGGTAGCCCTGCGTCGTGCCAGATCACTCTTGTTGTTGGGACTTCAACACCGCGGATCAATGTGACTGTTGCGCCCCAGCAATCCTGGACCGTGCCAGAACGTCATTCATGGGACCTCGGCCAAACGAACAGTTCTCAGACGACTGCTCGCGGTGCTGAAGCGAGAGCCCTATTCTGAAAAAAAGAGCCGCCATCAGTCTTTGAAGCTGTTGCAAGCTGTGAGACGAACGCGCGCGGCGCCAAGGCGAGAGTCACATTTTGAAAACCACCGGCACTCCATCCGTGAAACTGCAATACACTTTGAGACGAATTTGCGCGGCGCTAAGGCAAGAGGCACATTTTGAAATCCACCCGCCCCCCATCTTTACAATTGCTTCAATGTCCAAGCTGCAGGTATCAAGTGGCAGGGAAGTTTCTGACGAAACATCTGGCTCGTCCTCCCGACATGCCTGTGGGTGCTGCAGGGGGCAGATGCTTATAATGAGAAGGGATGGAGGAGGACAGGGTATGGTTCAGGACTGCTTCGGGGGCGTCTGGGGAATCCGGGGAAGGGTGGTGGGAAGGAGGAGGAAGAGGGCACAGAGAAGCGATGGCTCTGGGGAAGAGAAGGGGGATGATGGCGGAATGGGGGGGGGGGGGGCAGGGCGAGGGGAGGGCAGGAGGATGAGGCGGGGAAGAGGGGAAAGGGGAGGGAGGGCTCCTCCTCCGTCTCCCTCCGCGAGTAGTCTTTAGTTTCGGGTACCCCCCTCTGTTCATTTCGGCGGGGAATGAAACTCGTCTCTCCTCCTCCTCCTCCAACTCACCCCCACTCCTTCTCCAACTCCTCCCCCTCCTCCCTCCGCCCTCCATTTCTTGTCCGTGTAATATCTAGTGGCCCTCGGCCACTGCGCGGCCGTGCCTGAGTGGTGGGTCAGAAGTGTCTTGGAGACTTGTTGGGGTTTCTTGGAATGCTCATCGGAAGCTTCTTGGTATGCCTCCGTCCTAGATGCAAGACGTTTGACTGAAGCGATACCCAATTGGTACCACTTGGGTCGAACGCCCCAGCGGCCGTCGATTCCTCGTGCATGGGTTGTGGGTCAGAGGCCCTCTCGGAGGCCTCGCGAGGTGTCTGCCTCTTGGATGACTCCTGGGAGCCTTTTGGCCTCGCTTGGGGGCATCATTTGGGGCCTCTTGCAGGCCTCTTGTGGGCCTTTTTGGGTGTCTTCAGGAGCCTCTCGGGGGCCTCTTCGAGGCCTCTTGGGCCCTCGAGGGCGGGTCTCGTAAGGGGCAGCTGGGGGGCTTCTCGGCCGTGTCTTGGGCTGTCTTGGCCCCAGGGCACTGTCGCACCACCGGGCGTCTCTGTAGGCTTGTCCCGGGCGTGCCGCTCGAGACCGACTCACAGCTATCTCGAAGCTCGCAGTTCCCATTGGTTCTACGGATCGAGGCTGGGACCTTTCAGACATTGGTTTTCGGCGCAGCGTTTGCAGCAGCGGCACAGATGGAGGCTGGGCTCTTTGCAAATTTGAGCTCTTGCCTCAGCTCCGCGCACACTCGTCTCAAGCAAATGCACCAGCTACACGGATGGAGCCCTGTGTCCTGTCAACATCAAAATGCAGTTTTCGATGAGCCCGCTTAAATGGAAAATTACATGCAAAGCATTGCGACAGGTACACGGGTGGAGGACGGTTATTTCAAGCAAAGGGGCATCTCGCGTGAGTATTTCTCAATTTGATTGGCCAGTGCGATATTGTGCAACGGTTGCACGGATGGAGTGCGGGTCTTCGTCAACATGGGGCATTCGTTGAACATTTGGTCAAACTTTATAGTCATATTTTGTCGCATTCTTGATTCGATCGTTTCGCTCATTCCGCCAGCCTTTACTTTAGCATCGTTGGCACTTGCCTTCGTGCTCGCGGGGGCTTTTTCAGAGCCTGGTGTGGCATGTGAGGGCCATCTTGGAGGCCTCTTGGAGCCCTTTTCTTTATTCCTTGGGACATGACGGGCGTCATGGCCCCCGCTCCCCCCCTCCTCCCCCCCCTATGACGTAACGCTCCCCCCCCCAGTGAACTCCGGGCACTGCCGCCGTGAGCATTGGGATCCGCGTAGGTGTCCGCGCAGGAATCCGCATAGTAGTCTGGTCCGCAGTCGACGTCGTCGTCGTCGTCGTCGTCGTCGTCGTCGTCGTCGTCGTCGTCGTCGTCACGTCGTCGTCGCTCATCGTCGTCGCTCGTGGCTCGTCGCTCGTCACTCATCGTCGCCGTGCGCGCGGACCCAGCTGGAGGTTGTTTATTATTCCGGGCCGATGAAGGCAATCATTTGGGGGGGGTGGAGGGGGTCGATGACGTCACGGTTCGCGCCGGCGGCGTCTGGGATTGCCTAGGAATGACGGAGGACGGGTAGCACCAGCATATAGGTGGCGATCTGCACCACAACGCCTGTGTACACCACAGTGCTTGCGTGCACCACAGCGCCTGTGTACACCACACAGCCGATGTACACCACAGCAGCCGCGTGCAACACAGCGTCAGTTTGTGCCACCGTCCCTGCGGGCACACCAGCTCTTGTGTACACCACAGCGCCTGCGTACACCACATCCGCCGTGTGCAACACAGCACCAGTATACACCAAAATGCCTGCGTGAATTGCAGTGCTTGTGTACACCACGGCGCTTGTGTGCGCCACAGACAGCAGCCGCGTGCAACACAACACCACTGTTGTATATATAATGTTCGAAGGGGTCCTCATGACAAAATGAAGCGCTTGTGGATTCCACAGAAAACCACAGAAAGGAACCCTTATGGACAAAGGACCGCCGCTGGAATCTACGAGTCCTCCCGAGGCCGCCCGCATCACCCGAATTCCTCCCATTTGCGTCCAGGAGGCTTCACCTAAATTGGCCGTCCGAGAACCAAGTGGACCGATTCAATCGACCATTTTGCGGTGCACGCTGAGATGGGCACGTGCGCTGTAGCGCCAGACCGCACGACATGGGGTAAGGAGGAGGAGGAGGAGGAAGAGGTGGAGGTGGAAGTGGAGGAGGAGGGAGGAGGGAAAAACGTCGCATTCGATTATCAGTACTTTCCTGGCGTGGCGTTTAGTTGTCCACAGCAGATCCTCACGTACATGCTCCTTCTACTTGTCCTATGCACGCAGGCACTGTGGTGTACACCGACGCTGCGTTGCACACGGATGTTGTGATGTAAACAGGCGTTGTGGCGTGCACGGGTGCTGCGGTGCACGCAAGCATTGTGGTATACATAAGCGTTGTGTTGCACGTGGTTGCTGCGGTGTACACATGTGCGCCGGCGCTGTAGTGTACCCAAGCACACTCTGGTGTACCCAGGCGCTGCGTTGCACACGGCTGTTGCGGTTTACGCAGGCGCTGTGGTATACACGCGCGCGGTGGTGCACGCGAGCGTTGTGGTGTACACAGGCGCACTGGGGCAGATCGTTACCTACATGCTGCTCGCGTCGTCGTCGTCGTCGGCGTCGCTCGTCGCTCGTCGCGTCGTGCGAGCGGGCGCGGGCGTGGTGCCGGGGCCACACTTGGGGGGGGCGTTACGTCATACTCCCCCCCGCCCCCCCCCCATGACGCCCGTCATCGCCGAACATAAAGAAACGCGCTCTTGCATGGGGCCTCCAGGGGTGGCCTTTTGGAGCATGTGGGGACCTCTTGGGGTACTTTTGGCTCGTGCACTCTCGGAGGCCATCCATGGGGGAAGTGGTCAACATTTTAGTTCGGGCTCCCCCTGTTTGGCCCTTCTTGGAGGCCCCTCGAGCCCTCTTGGGGGCCTCTCGGGCCGTCTTGTGTCGCTCTTGGACCGTGTGGGGCTGTCCTGGGAGCCTGTTGGATTGTCCTGGGACGAGATTTGGGGCCTCTTGGGCCGTCTTGGACGGCCAGAACTCTGAAAAGGCGGACACGCCCAAATCCTTCAAAGCCAAAGGGACGACAATGATATCTGCCTCTTCTGTGCCCTCTTGAGGGCTTGGAGCGCCCTGGAGGCGTTTTGGAGGCTTCGTGCGCTGTCAAGAAGTCACCCTGGACGTCTTGGAGCTCTTGTGGATCGTGTCGGGCCCTCTTGTGCTCTCCTGCACGCCCGTGGAGCTCTCCCGGAGCGCTTCT